GGGAACCCCAGAGGCCAGGCCCGGGCCGGCTGAGGGGGAGGAAAGGCTCGTGGAAGGAAGAGGGCGGAGACTTCAGAAATGGCGAACCAACGGTGAAAACTCGTTCCTCGCACACCGAGCGAATGATGGACTCGCAGCACCCAATCAAAACAAAAGTAGTCTAGCAGAAAGCCATGAGTTCATATCAGTTCTGCATCACTTCAAGTTGCTGTGTTGGCCAAAGAGAAGGCCCAGTCCTTTGCACATTCACATACCAAGCGCCAAGACCGCGCATGAGATCTCCACGGCTGATTGTATCCGAACCACTTAGAAGCAGGGCCTCAGCATCATTCTTGCTGCCATTTCATGCCACCAAACATCAGAGGATCCCCTCCAATTGACCAGGAATCTTTTGAGAGTTCGAACCTTCTAAAGTGCGTGTTTGGGTCTGTCTGCCACAGTCGTTCGACCTCCCCCCTCGCGCCTCGTGGACCACGGCATCGACCTGCCACGCTCGGATGCCCGGCACCGCCCCCGGCGGCGCCCGGGTGGCGCACTTCGACGCACCCTTGGGCGGGGCGGGTGGCGCACCTCCTCGTCGAGGACGGGCAACTGACCATTGAGCTGCTCCATCAAACGCTTCAGCTCCCGAAGATCCACGCCCTGGGGCCCCATGGGTGCTTGAGATAACATAACGGGATCAGAGCGGGTGTTTTTCTGGGGGTTCGTGTATTTTAAGAGGGTCCATCCCTTGGGGGTTCATGGGTAGACTGGAAGAACTGTTGCTCTCCCTTTCGCTTTTTTCACCCATAGACACCCCACACATAGTCATCCCGAAAGAGAGCCAGAGATCCTGTTTCACCCCGCCTAAGCCCCAAAAGGGGTCAACCGGACCATTTTGCTTGGATTCAATGGATGTTAGGCCATATGTTGCACTTACAAACGCCTCCTTGATTTCACCGCAATTTGTGGATCCACCGAGTCATTTGGAACCAAGGTGATGTTGAAACCCTCGGAGATCCTACGTTCCATATGTTTATTGAATTGGTCAGATGGTCTGCTGCAAAGCATCATACTCATCAGGGAATGTCCCACAAGTTGGTTCCAATTCTTCGGATGCCCTTGAGGTCCAACTTTGCTTCCAAACACCGCTGTAAATGCCCCAATTGTGCACAGCTGGTGACAGAAGTCATGGCTACTCAAGTCATCCATCGAATCGCTTTCAACCATGACACCCTTTCCAAGGAATCAAACATATTCAAAAATATAGACATCGCGTCTAGGTTGGAGGCCATCGTTTCTAGGTTGGAGGCCATCGCTTCAAGAATAACTTATCACCTGAGAGAGCTCCAAGGTTTACAGCTCGGAGCATTCTGTTGGCAGTCCTGGACAAAGTTGGCATCCGCTCCATTCTTGTCGGCACGCACTTTGAGCAAGGCCATCCTGTAACGAAAACCGGCTCTTCCACACTGAAGAATCATAAGAGCCAAGGAAAATGGGAGAGATGAACGGTTACTGTAGCTTTGGATGGTGGTTGAGATATCTGGTTGGCTGGATCTTGGTTTACGCTGGAGCTTGGAGATGTTGGATGATGATGTGCCTGAGCAATCTTCACAAGTGCTGAACAGCCAAATGTCCCAAAGACTCAGAGCTCGACAGCTGCAGTTCGGGGAAGGACCTGAACTTCGACATCTGAGCCAACTGAAAACCTGAGGTATCCGAGGTCATGGCAGGGACTGGAATCCATGGCGAGCCTCGGATGCTGAGAAAGAGGTCCTCCATGTTCACGTGGCGCTGACGGTTTTTCCCCCCAAAAGACATCCCAAGCTTCCAAGTGCATTGCTACGCAGCTAGCAAGTGCATCGCTACTATATAGTCGCAAGGACGCTACTAGTAGCGATGCACTTGCTAGCTGCGTAGCTTAAAGGATGGTAATAGCTTCTTGTTACTA